GTTACGTAGTCCGTTATATTGAGACATATTTTTGGCATAGAAAGTGATCGAATTGGAGAATGATGTCTGAATCAAAGTTGTAGCCAGATGGGTTAGCTTTCCAACGCATTTTGAATCGCCTCAATCGAATATCGAAATACAAAGTTATGATAAAAACATTGAAGGAAGGTGCAGCTGCCTGTTTAAAACAAGGAATTCCGTTACATAATTCGTTAAAACAACAAATTCCGTTAGTTTTTCCGTTAAAGCAACAAATTCCGTTAAATAGGCACTTTTTATATATAGAAAGATTTAATGTACAGAATTGTTTATCACCTCTCACATGCACGCTGGCCTTGCGTGAATAAAAAAAATCCTAAGATATGATCCCCACCCCCGATTGTGAGTAGTCGCTAAAAGATTAAGGGCCTGTCTGTCCCAAATTTTCTTCAGATTTTAATTGATTTTTTGGCCGTTTTTTGACAGCATGTGGGTCCAAATGTGAGAGAAATAGTCAAAAATGCCGGCTGCATGCCTCAACAACGGTCCACTTTTCAATAAAAATTCACCAAAAAATTGATCCCAGACATGGCCTAAGTAAAAAAATTGGGACTGGGTACATACATGGTCCTGCTAAAAATTCATTAATGCCGCTAGATTCGAAAACATACAAAATGTAAGAGGTGAAAAAGGGAATAACGTCGACCTTAAGGACTCATTTGCAAATATCTTACCTTATATAAGAACTCTCCAGTTCTTCGTCTCCATATCTACACTAGGGTTTCTCCTCTCTTGCAAGCGTTGTTCAGCTCCACGAGCAGCTGCCGCCTCCTCCTCTTCCTCCTCCAAGACAGCCGCCGTCATGGGTCGTATGCACAGCCGAGGGTCCTCTTGCTTTCTTTATTAACATATACGCATACATGAATAGATATCCATATAAACAACATTTACGTTTATTTCCCTTTTTTTATAAATTTGTAATGTATGTTATGCAGTAAGGGTATTTCCGCATCTGCACTTCCATACAAGAGGACTCCACCTAGCTGGCTCAAGATATCTTCACAGGATGTACGAAATTGCAATTTCATACTCACCTTTTTACTTTCTTCTTATTAGTAGCTCATTTTTCATCTGTTGCAATCTATAACATTTTTTTTACTTCACGCAATCACTGCCTCTCTGATTATATGAATTGAGACATTGTTTAGTACCATTGATAGCGATGCTACTGTGTCAATTTAGAGAAAGAAATAAAATTTGGATCATATACACTACGGGTTTGTTTGATTACAAGAATTGAATTTGGGTGGAAAGAAAATGAATTTTATGGAATTGAATTGTCTAGAACTTGTTTTGCTGAGAATTGTCAATTAATTGTGTATGATTGGTATAATTTTTCACCTGGAAAATATTGAAATTTTGAATCTCTTGGTGTTCGTTTGACTTTATTTTTCATGGAAATTGTCCATTATGGGGATATAATTTGTTAAAATTGGGAGTATAATTTGTTTTCATTGCCAAAAAAAAAAGCAGCCTAGAAAACCAATTCCCACCAAAGTGGTGGGAATTGATTTACCTCAAAAGGCAAGAAAATGTGGCAAACCAAGAAAATGTGAAAAATCAATTACCTGGAAAATATTTCCTATCAAACACTCTTGGAAAGTGGAAAATGGCAAAAAGTTTTCCATTTTCCATGGAAACTTGCCCTATCAAACAGGGCCTACATGTCTATATGGGAGTCATAGATGTTACTGCTAGGATCAACGACAATTAGTTTGACACGAGTAAAATTATATTAATGAGTTTTGTGAAATTAATGGAAGTGTAGAATAGAAATAGCCCGTGAAGATGCTCACCACTCCGAATTCTATTGAACAGTAAGTGCTAATGTGACAATATAAGGTTGAAAAGTTAAAGACAGATAATTGTGCAATTTTTATTCTCTATGAACAGCCCTGACTTGAATTTGGGAACCATTGAAAGAAAAATGGAGATAAAGAGAGCTAAATGTTGAGATGGAGTCCTACTGATTTGTTCATGTGCTTGTTATGAATTGGCCAGCACTACTCGAGCTAGAACTGTTGTGTATATATTGAATTAATATACCTGCAAGATTAATTTGAAAGCAACTTTTAGCCCATTGCTAGCATAAATGATTTCAATTATATAAAAACGGTTTTCCATTTTTATGTTCTATATTTGGGAATTTATATAAATTAATGTCAAGAACATTTTTTTAGCCATTAATTTTTCTATTCTAAATGCTATATAATATTGTAATTTTAGACAATTATGTCAAATTTATACTTATTTATCTATTTCGAATTTATTTTATGAAATGTTTTACTGTGAATAGCTTCAATTTGATCCTTCTAGACAGTAGATAGATTGAATAGCATTATTTTTTCTGTAGTATAGAATGCATTTCATTTTTCACGTCGTTCTCCAAGTTTCTATATTTTATTTGGATACAAGTTTCAAAACAAGCTTTTAGCCTGATATGGTTTTTAGTTGCAATCATTATCAAACACAGTCCTCCAAGACCGCAGACCTCAACTTTGACCAACGGCAGTTTGCAAAATTAAAGATGAATATGCATTGCTCTGCTCTGTTTGATTTTGCATTATTTTCAAATCTCATACGATCCTTGTTTTCTTTATCCATACTATTTTATGTTTCTGCGGTTCCTGGTCATTGCATGTTATGTTATATGAGTTATCAGTCCGTTCATTCTTTTGGTTGCAGTTGATGGGTTTTCTTTAATTCCATCATGGTAGACACTGATCTTCCGTTCTAATATTTTTGTCCATCTCTATTCAGGTGGAAGATAACATCTGTAAGTTTGCGAAGAAGGGGTTAACACCTTCCCAAATTGGTGTCATCCTTCGTGATTCCCACGGAATTGCGCAGGTGAAGAGTGTCACTGGCAGTAAGATTTTGAGGATACTCAAGGGCCACGGTAAGTTTTCTGCACCATAGGCTTACTAGTTTCATCGTCTTCTACGAATTGTAAATTTTTTACCTCGTAATTGTTATTTATTAACAGGACTTGCTCCTGAGATACCTGAGGATTTGTACCACCTTATTAAGAAAGCTGTTGCAATTCGTAAGCATCTTGAGAGGAACAGAAAGGACAAAGATTCCAAGTTCAGGTTGATTCTTGTTGAGAGTAGAATTCACAGGCTTGCTCGCTACTACAAAAAGACAAAGAAGCTTCCACCTGTCTGGAAATAGTGAGTTCGTTTCCCATTACTGAGATTTTCCTATTTGCATTTGTTTTTATTCACAAGCTTTATCAAATATTTTGAATTGCACTTCAATAATAGCTAAGATTTTGTCAATGATTTGTTAAATATGTTTGCATCAATACCATATTGACCCGAATAAAAAGTACATATTTTATCTAAGGATTTCAAGTGTTTTAGCTTGATCACATTAATGTATTTACCAAAGCACATTTGATCTTAATGCAAATCAAGGACTAGGAAAAACGATTACCAAAAAAGGCCTTAGCTCTGTTTGTAATTTGGTTTGTGTTTAGTAAACATTGGGACCTGCTACCAGTATGTTGTTTTTTCTTGATACTTTTAATTCGGTATAGTCATTTAAGATGAACTGAGCCTTTTTACCATTTTGATGTTCATTGAACAACTGAAGATTTCTAGTCCTAAGCTTCTTTTGAGTTTTAGCCATTTTCGTAAACATGTATACTTTGTTTCTCTTCATTGGGAATACAGTTAAATGATTTTTATTTTTCTTATTATTGTTGCAAGTACTCATTTAGTTGTTTTCCCGTTGCAGTGAATCTACCACTGCCAGCACACTCGTTGCCTGAAGCAGATACATGATGGAATGGTGGATTTGTAACTTGAGTGTTATTTCAGGAAGAGAGTTGCTAGCAAATCTTAGACTATTTTCTTCGATGAGTTTTTGGAATGCTTGGTTTTATTGTATTAGACTGGAATAACACTAAGCTGGGTAGTGCAATAGTTATATGGTATCTTCCAGGGGGAAAGCATGTCCAGTTTTCTTCAGAATGTGACCAGTTTACATTTTTTTTCTTCTTAAATGGACCAGTTTTAGAAATGGATAATGAGAAATTAAGTACAACTTTATCTAAAGGCAAAATTTGTTCTTCTTTCCGAGTACTTGTAAGAGGGCAAACAATCTGCATTCCCCATTCTGTTTGGACTAGTGTTCTAGGGAGTAAACAACAAAAATGCGCAAATTGTATGAAAATTGAACTCGTCATGATTGCTACCTGTTATTTTGCTGATATATCTAAGAATCTTATAAATGACGATAAGCTTCCTTGATAAACTTGTTTGAAAATTTGGAAGACATGCCAGTGTTGTGACCTTAGATGAAAGTTTGTTCTTCAGATATTGGTTGTTTGTAGGGATGTCAGCGAGTCGAACTGAGCCGGCTCGGGAGCCGAAGCTCGAACTCGATAACACATTTGTTTATGCTAGTATTATTAAAAGTAAAATTTCGAACCATTTCTTGTACATCATATTCTTGTATAAAATTTTTTAAAATCATATATATGGTAGTAGCATTAAGAGGGTATTCTATATATTTGAATACAATAATTATGTACAAGTCACAAGTAATTAATATAATGAGCCGTAGCAGCAATATGATATTTTTTATTATTAACGGTCTATAAACTAAAGGTAAACGATATAACATTACTAAAAGTTTTTAGACATGTTATATAATTCTATATTATCTGAATGAAAAGTATTTCCACAATAAGAAGTTATACCTGTGTTGGAGATAATTCTGTACGAGTCGGGTAAAGTGTTGCTCTAATATATGTTAGAGAAATCGAAGATTGAAGATTTAAACTAGAATACTACAGGTTAAACTTGTTGAAGTAAATTAATATGAAACTCAAAATTTAACTCGTGTATATATATATATATTCGTTTCAACCAGATTTGAAATTTGAATACAACAGCTACTTGTCATGTAGTAGCTAACCTTGACAGGCGATACACATAGCAGTTGTTTTTATTTATTTATTTTAGGCTCGGCTTTTTACGAGCAAAAAATGGCTAGTAGAGCCACATAGGCTGGCTTGGGCTTTCAAGCCGACACCCCAAATGCGGCTCGGCCCGAGCCTTGGCTTAGTTTTTTTGAGTCATGAGCCTAGCCTCGTCGGGCTTTTCCTGGGCCGAGGCAAGGGCCATCCGAACTAGCTACCCAAATTGACATCCCTAGTTGTTTCCTTTCACCTACTTAAGCGAGTGGAGCAAACATTACATATTTAGCAAACGCTAACTCTAAGATTGTATATTTAATTTATTTTATCGTGTTTTTGATTGTTCTTTTACCGAGTATAGCTTAAGCCAGATATCCTAGTATACACAGTTGATAGTTCTCTTATGATCTGGTGCCAGTTAATTTCTTAGCCTCAAATATTAATATCTCCTTGGAGTTGGTTGAACATTAATACCGCATTTTAGACTGCCATTTACTCTGCAATTTAGACAAAAACTGAACTGTACTAACAGTCTAGCTCTTCTCCTTTTAGCACATGTGAACTCATAGCCTCGACACAACATTCACATGGATGGATTGTGATTTGTGAAATAAAAATTAGGTGTTTTTGTTTTCTTTTTAGTCTGTAAAATTCACATTTTCAATGATTCAATTGTTGGCCAAAACAGTTATTTTATGTGTAGGTGTGACCATAATGAAGAGAGAAAACATACGGTAGCTAACTGTCCATTGAGCTAAACTTGGATCATGTATTTCAGTGTATGTTCAAGGAACTAAATTCTGTCTAAGAAATTCAGTAAAATTCTATCGAATTGCTTTCATTGCATGCACTGGCTTAATTTTCATGTTGCTGCCTTCACTGTGAATTAGTTAGTCTACACATTGTACGCATGACGGGGAAAAAGAGCTAGTGCTATATTCAGGGGATATGAAGAGAATACCTCGTCAAAGCCTACAAAAAGGTGTACTCCGATCCAACTGCCAATTGTTGATTTTGATGCAGAAGAAATTTCTCTAACCAGTTGATTAGATGTACGATCATGCTACTTGGGGAATTTTGACAGGAAATGTTGACAACCAACACTTGGCGTGTATTCACTAGAAGATGGAATTTAAAAAAAAAAAACAGGCGAATCATAATTCACCACATCAGCTCTGTCAACAGCTTAATTCTTAGATGTATCCCCAACAAAGAACTTGTGAACACTTCCCTCGAGTTCAATCCAGCTGCAGTCAAGAACTTTCTTCAGGTCCCTTTCTTTCATTTTTGTCCTAAGCTGTCTAACATAGTCACATAGACCAGGGGCGGAGCCAGACTTTGAACGTAGGGGGGGCCTAGAGGTAGAGGTGAAGTGGTGGGAGCCCACGGGGGTTGCCCCAGGAATTTTTTTTTGAATACATTATTAACAAAAAAATCAAGAAACGTATAAAAGAAAGTACTAATCTTTAATTTAGTAAAATCATACTTTGATAACGTTATATAACTACGTTATAATCGGGCGAAAAGTTACTGCATTGGTCGCTCGAGCGATTCTCTAGCGAAAGTCGAGCGAGGGTTGAGCAGTCGTCAATATTTTCATNGGTCGCTCGAGCGAGTCTCTAGCGAAAGTCGAGAGAGGGTTGAGCAGTCATCAATATTTTCATCATAACTTTCTCTACCGATATCCGATTGTGATGATTCAAATTCTATTGGAAAGCTAACTCAAAGGGCTACAATTCTTCTAGAAATAGCCATATCCAAATTCCAATGTTTTCGATGTGAAAAATGAGTTGAAAGTGGTAATTACAAAAACAAATTTAAAAAAAAAAAAAAAAAAAAATTTTTGGTCACAAATGGGAGGGGGGGCCAGGCACCCCCCAGGCCCCCCCTTGGCTCCGCCCCTGACATAGACCAAATTGAGCATACATGTTCGATAAGAGTACGTAAGAACATGGATTATAAGAATCCATTCCAATTAGACGCTTAACGACTGGCACTCCAACGTTTAAGTTTTCATGATCAGTGCATGCACTTAGCAAGGTTCACCAAACTACATCATTAGGTTGTAAAGGTCAAATCTTCTCTTTTCAAATCATGAACAAACTTTTGGATGCCACAAGTAATCTTTTTACCTAATATTTGGCAAACACTCCACCATATGTACATTCTCAACGCTGGACTTGGCTTGAAGAAAGTCCTTTCGCCTGCTGCTCAAAACTTTTTCGGTGTAAAAACTCTTGCAAGGATACATGTAAAGGATATGAAGTGCACTTTAACATTTACCTTTCTTTTCTGTTTATTCCTTATTCCAGCTATTGATTTGTTCTAGCAATCTATTTACAGGTTTTGGGCGCTAACTCTTTGGGGTGACTGCTTCAAGTCATTGACCCAAGGTTGAATTCTCTTTTATATTTTCCTTTTAAGTGTTCTAGAAATAGGATCATTTAATCTTTGGTCATTTTCTCTCAGGGCACTAGCAGGCTTTTTAGTGGATGATACAAACAACCAATAGAAGAAGCAGAAATGACAATAGAAGAATTATCCATTTTGTCTCAGCATACTTCTGTAAGTTCCATCGTGGCTCATTTGTCTTAATTTGTAGATATTGCATCCTATCCTTTTGCCACTTCATTGCTATCTATTTTCATATTTCAATGCATAGTTTATTATTAATGGGTAGAATATTTCTTGCTCCTGTAAAGCTACAATTTTTATGTCAAATATTTCTATTATCATGTACCACCATGTTGTAGACACGCATGATGAGGCTTAAATTCTATTTTTTGGTGTTTTCTTTATGCAGTAGTATCAGCTTTTGAACCAATGACCTTGTTAGATTTAGCATTAGCGAGACACATAATGCATCTCACCTCCGGTAGAGGGAAGGAATGTGTTCTTTCATTCATTTTTTTTTTATGGGATGGAGAAGGGGGTTGGTGGTTTGGGTCGCAAATTTATTTTTGATATATAGTTAAGTACCGAGTACTGCTTTGTCTAGGGTATATCTGTTGCGATTCCACTTTACATAGCTTGTTAGTATGCTTACTATTGTGCGAGTTAGAAATTGTTGCTATTTTGTTGACCACTTGAATGATGATATGTTTGTTACGATTTCATTATATCTAAACTAGATGTAAAGTAATTCTACCATAAATTTAATCATGGATGATATACAAAAACTTTCATCAATAAAAGAAAAGATGTTGTCACAAAAAAATAGACATCTCATGGAATGAGACAAATGTATTAGACATAGTCATCTAAACGTCACTGGTGAAAGATTTGATAGGCAAGTCCTTTCAACAAATTTTAAGGTGGACTTTCATAGCATATGCGATAATGCAATGAACCAAATGATTAGACTTCACCAAGCACTTTGAATCTTGAACAAGTTTTGGAAAATCTACAATGTTGACGCTAATAAAGATACAATAAATACAAAACTCATGCAACGCACGTGACAACGACTAGTGTTTGGAAAAAGCAAATTAAGAATGATTTTTGTGGTCTTAAGTCAAACACGGGTTTTTTAACTGCCCTGTGGTAAATTTGCATGAATTTGATTTATTTCCATCTGGTTCTGCATTTTGAAGCATAAGCAAGCGATTGGCTTGAATTTACAGACACAACGATTAGATATTTGATCTGATGCTTCGCTCTACAATTTCATAATATAGTCATTTCAAAGCTGATATAGAATGTAATTATGGGACGGGTTGAGATTTTGTTGGGCCGAATTTTTTGTCCATGTTAAAATTGCGCATAAATTGTAGCCAGCTTAATTTTACTAATTTATAGTTAAATTATCATTAGCCCAAAATGAGCCACCTCTTGAAGAAAAAAGACGTTCGAGTCTGTACCCGTCTCAAAATAAGCTCTAACCATCCATACGTCAAACCAGGACGAGCCAAGCTCATGAGCAGAGCAACTCCACCCCGTTTGCCATCCCTAAATGAAGTATAAATGCAGAACAAGGAATTTTCATAAAAATCATAATTAATGCCATTATCTGATTCTTGACAAGATCACACGGAAAAAGATGAACCTAAAATGACTCAAATTCGTGACACGGGGTCAGCCTGTATAAAGGGATTGGTCCAATCTTTCCGAACAAATGGGAAAAAATGCAAAGAACTCGCCTCTATTACTTAAGATTAATCTACATTACTAATTATATAAAGTATAAACCTTTCAAGAACGTGGCATGCTGTAACTTGAAAACCAACCCTATCTTAACATTCCCACATTGATTGGTAAAACCTGATCATCAGCTCTCAAACATCCTTAATTCATCTGCAATCCATGGAATTTTCTGGACAAACCACATTTGTCCTTCAGGTGTTATTCTGCACAACAGCTGTTGGATTGCTCTCCAGTCCCAAATTTGTACAGAAAAAATGATACTATGGTGGAGCTACTCAGAACAAGAAAGAAACTCGATGCATATTTATCTTCGTAACTGATCCTCATAATTCTTGGACATCCAGATCAGGCTTCAAAGGATATTCAAGACCCTGTAGAGCAGGTATCCACCGCAAATCTTCTTCCGAGTAAGCTGGGATAAACCAGTACCTCTTGTCCGTTCCAAATACCTATACAGAACAGAAGATCTTGTAGGAGATACATAAATCGAATACCATAAACTAAAAAGGTGGCAAAAATTAGATTTTTCTGCAGTTTCGATTAGTGGGTTTTGCAAGGAAACAAAAACTACTAATGAAACAATTTACTAATCAGCGAAGGAAGAAAGCCAATGAATTTTAGAGGATGTAGTCCTCAAGTCCTGGTAACTTGGAGGTGTTATTTAAAGTAAGCAAGTTCTAGAGATTGTGGCAAGGCATTTGGCTATCAAAAGAAGCACCTATCCAGTATCCAGGATTTGTCCTGGACAAGACTAGAATAGTGAAACTTGCTCCAGTCAATTTAAGATTTATTTGGCCTTTACTGGAAGTGAACTTGTCGCGGGGAAGACCATTAACTAATTGCAAACATATGATAAATTGCAAATCTATAATTCGAATACGTGTTATCTAACATTAAGCAATGGAGACAATCTATTCAATCATAACGATGCATTTTGGCTTTTGCCCAAAGAATACGGCATGAATCATTTAATGATCTGTATGCATGCTCTGGGAGTTCTTTCTTGCTCACTAGTATTATTCCTTGATTATTATTCGAGTATAAATAATTGAGCTGATCTTCAAATCAAATTTAAATGCATTGGTTTCACCATTAAAAAAAAAGAAGAAGAAAGAAAAGTGAAAGAAATGATAGATGAAATCCAAAAGTGATCCAACCTGTTCAAAGTTCCTTTTCCGTCCAAGATCATAACGCCATTTAGGAGTAGTCTTCTCATATGCCTGAATACAAGCCAATGAAAACAGTCTGTTCTCCATATCAACTTCAGTTATAATGTATATTGGTAGAAGAAGAAAATGGCTTTGACAGTATCGATCAAATTCAAATATTTCGATTTGACCTCTCCCCTTCTCCCCATCTACTACCTATCGAACAATTTTCTCTAGCTATTTTGAATGTTTTAAAGGATACTAAGGGAGCAAAAGAGAAGGGAATTGCAATGCAGTGTTAAATCATAAATTTGAATCCATGCACACCCGATGCATATAATCGCACTGAACTCAACAATGGAAATCAAAGCATCCCAAAGATTTTAAACAGAAATTTGGAAATACAGGGCTGCTCCTTCAGGTTAATGAATATTAAGCTTACATAGTTAAGAGGACACATTTCTCATCAAAGTTAAACTACAGAAACATGGATTAGCACAATACCTCAATGGTTGTGGTATTTGATGTCACTAATGATACGTGCATAATCAGAAATCCCAAAATGCTCAAAGAAAATGCTAAGTTTAATACTGCAAAATCAAAAGATTTTGTGAGTAAAATAATAAAAGCCACCAGCTGCGGCGGAGCAAAATAAGTATTTGGTAAAGGAATACTTGACCTTACCAAAGGCTAGAAAAGTGGTTGCAAGTGTTCCCAGAGTCCCAGGTATATCATCATCAGTGAAGAATAAAATAAAATGTGGCAGCAATGATAAAGTAACAAGACTTGTTTCAAGGAATGTATAGAACTGAACAATGAAAGAAAGTCATCAGTCATCAACATATTTCAATAACTAAGTAATTAAAAAATTTCAAATGCCTGCAATAATTTAATATCAAATGCAAAAATAATCAGCATCCATCAGGAAACAGAACTTAACAAAAGATTTGAAAAAGTCACAAGCAAAATGTGCAGAATCAATGTAATCTTTTGAAGAAATCAACATGCATAGGAAGTTAAGTATTAGAGCAGATGATCATATTTACATCAAATACATTTATCCTAGGATCTGCAGGTTCACAACACAACATAGTCATGAGAAAAAAAAAACCAATATCATTCATTTTAAGTTGTGATATCATACCAGGAAGAGAAGGAAATACTTGTAGTTCAATGCCCCAACACAATTGACTACCCATAAACAATGATGATCCATTTTAAGCACACACCTCCCACCTAATAAAAAAAAATCATTACTCTTGAAGAAATTATACAATGCTATAATTTCTAGGAAGTGCTATGTAAGAAGCGACTCACAAACAGAACAATGATGACAACGAGGTGGTTTTAGCTGGTTGCACTTTCTACAAAAGCGGATTCTCCTGTTCTTCAGGTCTGCTGAAAATTCTGTTGCGGTCAAAGGGTCGGTATCTCCTCTTTCTTCATCCACTTTTGGCCTCCAATTTGGAGGAACAATACCCGGCTCCGTATAAACAACAGAAAAATAACTCCACAATAGCATTGCCAACTGCATAACCATTACAATGACTAATTATTCAGCTTCATTAGAATCATTACTTGTTATATTTTGAATATCATCATGGCATTTACTACAATTATACATCTAAAATAAAATTCACATACAACCAATAATTCTTTTCCAAAACAAACCACTGAGTTTCCTAGAGCTAGAATGATTAAATTGCATTCCACAACTCATTTACAGTGAGATTCTTGACTAGAAGGTTGAGATCCCAGTGAACTTTACCATATTTCCATTTCGTCACATTATTTTTGCTAATTTCGAATTACAACAAACCAATCAAATAATCAATCCTATCTATCAGACACTACACTCGACCAAACATTGATTAAAAATCAGCTAACTACTGAGAACAAGCTAATAATATCCACAAAATTAGCCCTGAAGAACACCCAAAACCATTAAAATAAAAACATCTAACATTCCGAAATTGCCCAAGTAAGTCACTGAAACTTACCAGACAGTGGAACAAGATCAAGACGGCCAAAGAAAGTAATGCCTCGGGCCGGCCGGCTTCGAGGCCCGGCCAATAAGTGTTTATCACCACCGCATAATAGGTGAGGCCGACAATGCCAAGAACCAGTAATATCGTGGTCGACCCCAGCCCCCTCAGGGCTCGGCAGAATTTGAATACATTCCACGCCATCACCGCCCCAGATTTATGCATGATATTAGCGATCAATTACAAGAATAATATGTCCCAAAAAATTACAGATTCTTTTTCCTTTAGTTTGAATTTGATTTCCTATATGTTGAATAAGTAGTTAGGTTTTATGGCTTCCATGCAGGGAGTATGACTCCGGTGAAATCCATGAGCGAAAGCAAAGAAAAATTTCAATAAATAATAGATAATATTAAAATTTATTTCCACAAAATAAATGTTTGTCAATTGCCGTATGCTTGCCTTTAATGTTTTTTCTTATTCTCAATTTAATATTTTTCTATTATACTGAAGAATTAGTCAATTTACGCAAGTTTTGTTTTCCTACCTACTACGGCAACTTGAAGGCTGCTGCTTTCTTTCTTTCTTTTGGTTGATGTCTAGAAGGTGTACTTTAATTAATTATTATTTTTTTAATTCTACGTACATTCTTCTTTGCTACTTTTAAAGTTAGAAATATTTTTATACTAGAATACTTATAACATTAAACTTTTCATTTAGGATTAGGTAGGTAGGTAGGCTCACAAGTCACATGAACTAAATGGATCGTTAAAAAATAAAAGAAACGATTGGATGCAAAAATATAGGCTTATTAGCACAAAAAGTCAACACATTTGGTCTTTAGTGTGCAAAACATCGGTACGTTTCGATTTTTTTGCATTTTCATTTTTATTTCCACGTTTTATTGCGAAAATCATCATTTTCATCTATTTTTTCAATTAAAAGCTGTAAAATGACGAAAACACCCTCATATTTAAATAAAAATAAAGAACAAATTAGAATCATAATACCAAAATTTGAAAATATTACAAATGAGTCCCCAATATATAATTAAAAATTCAACATACGCCAAAAACTCAGGCCAGCCACCACCTTTAAAACTTAAAAACTCTAACCAACCATCGGAACTCCATACCATTGAACAACCCTCACTCCCCTCTACGCATACCACCCAGCCACTAGCCCTAACGTCACCAAATTTGACCGGAGTTTATGTGATCTCAACTAACTACTACCAACTTGTCATGTCTCAACGTTTAGACACTTCGATGACCGTCTAAGCGGTGTGCGGCCATGAAAACCCAAGGGAAATATATGTACAAAACGGCGTCCACCATCCACGTATACAAACAAGAAAACCCTCATGGCATTCTTTCTTTCTTCTTACAATGAAAAAATGATCTTGGCTGACTTGTAATGGATAAGGCCACCACTTTCTCTTCAACACGGCGTCATGTGGGGTCAAGTAACCCCACAAAATTTTTGACCCATTGTAAGGCTGCACCACATCATCTAAATAATTAGAGCTTTTCCATTTGCACAGGAAGAGCTCGATAGAAGGGGTTGCAACCGTGATTAAAAAATAAAAAAAATTACCTACCCACCCCTCATTTGTGAGTGCGTGAGTGCATGTAAACCAAATCACCCCTCCCATATGTACGTGTAGCATCGCTGAAGTAATTAAATCAAAAACCATCAGTTGAAGTATGTTCTGCATTTCTCAATTTCTGTGAATAATTAAATCAAAGAATTACAATTTTTTTTATGGAGAATCATGTAAGTTCCTTCATGTCATCGATGACGAGAGCATAATGACTTTCTTTGAATACATGTCTTATGAAAGAAGCTGATATTATATTTAAAGAACGATTGGCTTCTAATTATCTTTGCCGTTCCATTATTATTATGTATTTGTGTGTGTTTTTTGATTAACTTGATTATGCCAGTGCTCTAAAAGGCGGAGTCTAGGTGAATTTAGGCAGAGGAAGATATGAAAAAGATGATCGACTCAATTTTGACCACCTAATGTGAGCCCAAGCGTCAAAAGGTGCACGCCAAATATGAAAACATCTCATAATGTCTAGGCTCGTAAGGCTCGACCTTGCTGCCTTGCTAAAAGGCACTTTGTAAAATCTTGATGTTGGGTTGAATTAGTGCACATTACTGGTAACTAACCCGTTGTAAGGCTGCCCCGACAAAGTAGTATTAAAAAAAAATTACATTTTAATTTTTAACCCCACAATATAAAAAGTCTAGCTGCTCTTCGACGGTCGTTTCCACAAATGGGTTTGTTGTTTAACATACGCTAATGAAAGAAAAGGACTACACAAAAGACTTTCAAAGTTGGCGTGAAGACGTCAACCAACAAGTTTGTACCGTCCAATGCTCTTAGTTTGACAATTTCACTAGTACACGTAAAAGAGGAAATGAAAATAAAAACAAATGAACTTCTCAATCAATCTAAGCTATAGATCCTCAATACTAGTACGTTACCCCTGCCATTAAATGGAAAATTGACACTGATATTACAAAATTAGACATCACGAAGATAAATGACCAGAAAAGAGCGTGTGACTACAAGGTTAAAAGCGCAAAAAGACAAACATCGAGAACGTTTGTGCAATTTACTCAATTTACTGTAACAGAAAGCATAAACTTCAGAGTAATGTTATTTAGCATCACTGGTGATTAACACCAATCTAGGTAGCATCGCTTGCGTCATTGAATTATAGGTTCAACTGAATACAAAAATTAGATAGCATTATTTTAAAATTTTCAACCATATTGAGCCGCGTACCCGATGATTTGTGAAATTCGAGCTAAAAGGCGTTTACCATCAAAGAGAGAATTTAATGCTTAATTTGCTTATAAAGCATGTGTATGCAACTAAACATGCTCAATATAAGCTTGTCCTTTGTTTGGACTTTCTTATAAGCAACTTATAATGTTTAGTCAAATTTTAATTTTAACTCGTTCTCTATTCTTGCATTTAATAAGTTATAGATTTGAATATTCTATTTCTTAATTATTCAAATAATATTTGAATTGGTTGACAATTGATATATATTAGAAAATGTTAAATAAAAGATAAAAAGAAATCAATAAATATTTCTTTAAAAAACAAAATGAAGAGCCAAATTAAAGAGTATTGTTGAAATGTATAAAAAATTTACTATCTGAATTTAAGATATTTTCTATTATACATAAAATGTAGGGACGGACGGATCCAGAACTGAACTAAACTTTTTTTTTTCAACATTTTTTTATATATAAAATTTCATACATGAAGAAATTTTAATGGGCTGGTTATCCTGGGCTAAAGGTCAGGCTAGTCCCCCTATATTCGTCCAAGATGAGATGCTCTTCGTAAATAATCTCTTGAAAATGCTCGTATAAGGTATTTATAATGAAACCCATTTCGCCTTCACTCCCTAGAAATCTCAACATTAATTTTGCTATTAAGGAATAAAAAATATCATTTAGTCATGGCATTTATAACAGAGCTCAAATAGGCCAGTCCAATCTAGCACTTTTCAATAAAATGATAGACAAATCGTTCCCGAAACAACTGAGAATAATGATGATTGAACAGGCTCAAAGACAGGAAACTGATGGACAGACTAACTTGGCAGCACCTGTATGGGCATTTGTTTTTGTTTTTTTTTTTTTTTTCAAATCGTATAATCATGTGTTGACACATGTCATGTCCCTTTTTTTATCCTGTTTTTGAGTCTGTTTGTGTAGCATGATTGAACAACTTATTGGCATAGAATAACTTATTAATCCAAAATGATGTATAACAAAATCTCGTCCTCACAAATAGGTATCTTTTTTGTCTTTTGTTTCCAAAGGTTTCTCGTTATCTTATTACATCTTGGCCGGCTTCTATATGTGGTCCCTCGTATCTTATTATTTTGTGCCGTAAGAGAGTAGAAACAAACGTTGAGCCGTAAGAGAGTGGACAACTGACATTGTGCCAGTCTTATTGGTTATTCCCACCACATAATTAGTTTAATGTCGTGATGGAAATTGCATTTTTTCTAGACAGCCGACTGGGAGATAAAGGGACAAACCTAGTTGAATGGCTTGTGTATATAATAAGCAGTTCACATGAAATTCTGATACAGAGAAAGATGGAAGAGGAAAATAAGAAGGGAACTGTGTGTGTAACTGGTGGAACTGGATTTGTGGGATCTTGGCTTATTAAGAGGCTTCTTCAACATGGATACTCTGTTAATGCTACAGTAAGGAGTGATCCAGGTTTGTGATTTTGCATCTTCTGGTAGTGATGAGTTCAATATCTTCATTTTCTACTATGTTTCAGCTTTCAACATAAAGTCGGTCCGTTTCGCATTGCTTTTGAAAAGCCAAAATGAGCTTATGAGATCCAAAAGCAATTGTTGGACTGGTTTGACTAATTTTTTTAAAATGTTTTTCTAGTCAGAAAACCTTTTAGAGAAAGTTGGTCCAACGTGACTTCCTTCAAAAACACTTCTAGAATAGGAAGAGCTTTTTAAAATTAGTTTTTAAACAAAAACTAAGAAGCATGCAAAAAATTAACGGTTGTGCAGGTTGATTCACATCTTCTAAAAGGTTAAGTGCGTGTCATAAACAGGTGGGGATAACATTGAACTCAAAAACCTTTAATTGTGTCAATATCTTGTTGAACCACCTCATTGGTCGTCTCTCGTAAGGGCAAGGGAATACATCTAGCATATATCACATGTAGAGACTTCGCGAACTTGAGAATTCACCTTCTTTCCGCCATGATTCGTCTCCAAAAGATAACTTGTTAAATTGAGTAGTTAATCTCTTTGTATATTCAAGACCATCATCGTTTCCAGTTGATTTGAGACCTTGTTTCACACATCTCCAACATTGAGCAGCCACTAGGTTGTTAAGGAATAAAATCTCACATCGAATAAAGATGAAAATATAGACCGAATTATAAAAGTTTGGACTACTTATTTTAATAAAGTTGATCTTTTAAAATAGAACTCTAGGTATTAACATGATATGTGAACCTATTAAACTTCAACGAGCAATTCAATCCGATTAAGATTCTAAAAAAAGAGTAAGAGAATTTCTAGATTGGTTTCGCTAACGAACCACTATCTTGAAGGGGAGTGTTAAGGGATAAAATCTTACATCAAACTAAATCAGGAAAGGTCGATGAGTTAATTTCCTAATGAGGCATTTGAATAGAGTTAAAACATTTTACTTTGAACATGCCGACGTAATCTAATGAAAACTTGTTTATGCATTTCCAGAGTGCAAAAGAGATGTTAGCTACCTTAGAAACCTACCAGGTGCATCAGATAGGCTTCGTATATACAATGCAGATCTCGACAAACCGGATAGTTTCAATGCAGCAATCGATGGCTGCATCGGACTCTTTCACGTCGCTCATCCTTTGGACTTCGGGGATAAAGAATCAGAAGAAAAAAAGACGAAAAGAGCTATTTCTGGTTTACTTGGAATTTTACAGGCATGCCTTAATTCAAAAACCGTGAAGCGAGTTGTCTATACTTCTAGTGCATCGGCTGTCCTTTTTAACGGTAATAGGGACTTGGACATAGTCGACGAGAGCTCGTGGACTGATGTTGAATTGATTAGAAGCGTAACGATGTATGGAGGTTCTTACATTGTAGGCAAGACGTTAACAGAAAAAACAGCTCTAGAATTTGCTCAGAAACATGGATTGGATGTTGTGACCTTAGCTCCTACATGGATTCATGGTCCCTTCATTTGTAGTCATCTACCTGATACAGTGTGCATATCATTGGCCTTGATTTTCGGTATGTCTTTCGTTTAAGTTGCATTTTTCTACACCAATCTAGAAACGGCAAGTAGTATAAATTTGCTCAAGAAACTTATTCAACAGATACGATTCTTAGAAAACGTACGTTCAAATAATCGATGCCTCACCATTCTAGTTATCCACGTTGGACTATTTGATATGGGTACTCTCATTCTCCATTTTACTATCATTTCCCAAAGTGTCATCTCCACTCTCAAAACTCAAATCTTCACCACTTTGATAACGAGCTTACACGCTTACAGATCTACAGTGGGGGCTGTGGGGTCCACTGCCTCACACGAGAATTATGCTGAAGTGCCCGAAAATGGATGACCGAAGGGTTGACCGAGCCTCACATTGCGCATGTGAATAAAATAAGGAGCATGCTACAAGTATATAATCATTTACATAATACATTACAAAATTGACATGTGGCGCGCATCCATCGATAGTCTACAATTTTTGACTTTTCCACACTTCACATCCACGACCGAATTTTCTTCCACATGTGCCTATGTAATACATTATGTATAATAATTATGTACATATAGATTTATCCATAAAATAATGCCCGACCCCCGATGTGTGTATTCGGTCATCCAAGATGTCAACCGGGATGTTAGTGTAGCACGGTTCCTCACATTAAATTTGAAACAAAGATTTTGCAATAGATTTTACCCACAACATTTTCAAAAAAATTCCTTATAATTTTCAATTTTGCCCCCACAATTAAAATTTTGTGAAATTCC